GAGAGAGAGAGAGAGAGAGAGAGAGAGAGAGAGTTCAGCTAAAAAGAACAAATTTAATATGAATATCTGGTCTCTCAGATTTCACCTGCAGATGGTAAGGTGCTTTATTTTGGACCGGTGACTTCTTGTCGCGTGGAACAAGTGAAAGGAGTAACATATGATCTTAGACAATTTCTGGGTGATCATTTAAACGATTTTACATTAAATCAAATCGCCAAAAACACACAGAAGGACGATTATGTTAAATCACTTCTGAAGAATCCAAACAATAGATTGTATCAGCTGATTGTTTACTTGGCACCTGGCGATTATCATCGGTTCCATAGTCCTACCGATATGAGCATAAAATTTCGACGGCATTTTCCAGGTATACCTTGTCTCTTTGAAGTTTTAAGATTACACAATATTATATTCTCTTTGCTTCCTGCTTCTTGCACTTTTTTTACCTCTTATTTTGTTTCTTTATTCTCTGTTGATTTCGGGAAGAGACAAGAGACGATTATTATTGGAAAAAAAAAGAAAAAAAAAACGGAAAATACGTGGTATATTGTAGATTAGTCTGGCCATACTCTGTGATATACACTGCCAGTACTGAAAATCTATAGTTCATGTTATGTATACTACATTTAGATTTTCAGTACTAGCGGTGTATATTGAAACACTGCTCCTATAACTCCTCATAATAAAGTGTCTCTTTTAATTTTGTAAGCAACCTGCTTATTTTTAGGAAAGCTATTGAGCGTCAATCCGAAGGTGCTCAAATTCATGCCAAACTTGTTCTCATTGAACGAACGCGTTGTGTATATCGGGGAATGGACAGGCGGCTTTATGGCTTATGCAGCGGTCGGAGCGACAAACGTGGGCTCCATACGAGTCTATTGCGACAAAGAATTGGCGACTAATACGATACACTGGCCTGAAAGCGCGCACTGGAAGGAAGCGAGTTTAGATAACGCGCGTATTGCCAAAGGCGATCTGTTTGGTGAATTCAGACTCGGATCCACGATCGTGCTTCTGTTTGAGGCATCGCGAGATTTTCGATTCTCCTTGCAAATCGGTCAGACCATTAAAGTCGGTCAGACATTAAGTACATTTTCTAGCGAAGAGTCTGATAAAAAACAAATTGAACGACAGCATTTAATTATGAACGTCGCTCAAGATTGGCGAGATATATGGAAGCCTAGAGTATAGTAAACAAGATTAGGATTACTAATTTTATTGGAGAATTAAAGAAGATGTATCGACACCTTGCACGCTCATATTTGTTGTAAGCGTAATAAAGAAACACTAGAGTCACGAGAGCTCTAAAGACTCAGTTTTCTCGAGTAAGTATCGATCCTGTGATTACTTTTGTACCGTAGCTGTGTTCGTGCGCGAGAAAATCATCTCATGCGATTTATCTGAAATTACATGTTAATGTAATTTCATCTCCCATTAATTGTACTCATTCGTTACTTTAATTACGTAATATCATGCAAAAAACGGTGCTTTATAATACTTTTTAGCACAGTCGATTTATTGTTATGACCGAGTAGTACTGTGCAACACGTCTCTAGCTCCTGTGAAGCTTCACACGATCACGATTGAGAAATCAACGGTGTCCCTTAATGCGAGAAAACATACTTTTCTTTCCTTGTGCGTCACCACCGATAGAGGTCGGATTGTAAACTGTTTTAGTTGCATGCCAAATCGATCTTTGTTTGCAGTTAAGTCGACCGGTCAAGGCCGCTAGATGAAACACTTTCCTCAATTAAGGTTCTAACTCCCTTTTTTTAAAAAGAAAGTAACAGCTACGTCGTATATTGTCAAGTTTCCACGCGTTACAATCGCATCGGGTCTTGTTGACCCTATTATATTTTTATAGCAGAGTATATTTTTACCGATTCTCTCTATCGTTAATATTAATGTTGCTTCTGAAAAATTCGTATTATAAATCGGAATACCTGTTATCAAGACTTGTCTAGCACGCGCACGCCAACATGACTGCACTAGACCAGATTAGTTGTAATATGAATATTTAATCGCGCGAATGTATTTTATAACATATCTATTTTATACAAAATACAGATATAATAATAAAGATTACACAGAGATACCACAGTTTTCATATAATTACTTCCTTCAGAGACGAATTTATTACAAGTACCTACACATCCTACACATTTTATTATTTTATTCCTTTATTGTAAATTAAATTCTTTCGATATCGAGATCATTCGAGATCGTAATAGAGAGAGAGAGAGAGAGAGAGAGAGAGAGTTCATTATTTATACTAATATTTAATTTGTATTAATTTTTTTCGCTAATAATTTTTTCCAAATTTCTAGAAGATCGTGAGCCTTCCCCTGTCTTGCTTGTTGATTGTACAGCACACAATAAGTAGCAGCCATAAAAGCATATGACTTTGATGTACATACTTAATCCTATATACATATAGTATATGTATACTAAGTAAAGTAAACATAAGCGATACAATCGAGGAGCTGTTAACCGGAAAATGTAAAATGTCAAGCATTAAGAGAGGCAAGTTAAATTGCTCATTTATATATTGAAAACTTTCGATACCCTGCAAACGTAAATGAAATCAATTCGTGCATGCGGTTACGAATTTTAAAACACGCATTAATTTAAATTTATATCCTTTGGAAAACTCTTCCTCCTCTTGTATTAATTTAGGTCTTGTAAATGTTGAGTGAAAGAGATAGTTAAATTGATCTTTTTTGTTCACGTGAATTGTCTAAACGCGCTAATACATCATCCTGCACAATATCTCCGTGTTCTCTTGTACAAAGCAGCTAGCATGCATCGTACCGTTTATCATTGCCAGAAGCTTAACGTTGGCCAATCTCCTGAGGAAGATACACGCCAGTACGAGAAAAAGGAGAAAAGCCGCCGGAGCCAAGCCGGAGCAGCCGGTTTACGTTGCAAACGTCAAATCGACGGATCAGTGAGCGTCGCGACGCCCGCGGCGCAGGTTGCACCGACCGCCTCCTCTTCTTGCGGCTCGCTCCCGATAGTACGTACCGGTGCGTCGGATAGTGACACCGGCACCGCGTGTCTGGTGCATACGCGGCTGCTCAATATATGTATTCTTCCCTGAGGCACCAAGACTGTTAGAGGAGAGAACTATTATGGAGTATCTGAGCGGCGGCTAAATGGGGGCCGATGGACATTTTCGCGTGACCTTGTCCCTCAGGAGGGAACCAGGTGCCGGTCCAGTCTTCTGCAAGATGGAGACGTCCGCCAGGTTCCGGCAGCTGAAGACGGTGAAGCTGAGCTGCGAGACGACCTACCGGCTTGATATTAGCTTCAAGCCGCCGCAACTGCTGCAGTAGGTACAGTGAATGTGCAATTACACATATATATACATCGGGCACCTCCCCCTTTCTCCGACTGCTGATTCCTGGAGTCGGATTTTCTTTTAGGAGGACAGTGGGATTCCGCATTGCGTGATCTCGATGATTTGCCGATGAGTACATTATTAGTTTTACTTCAGAAAAGTAAACGTGTGTCAAATCACGAATATATATATATATATTTATATATATATATCTAGACTAATCTAGATATTTCTGACTAGATGATCATTTCTGTTATAATTTGATAGAATGTTTCTATCTTCGTTATATAGATGAAAATTTCACTCTATTGACCAAACTTAAATATATTTAGAATCCAGTCCACGTATTGTATATCTATAACAATTTTTGGTTGAATCTGCAGAATTAATGGATTATTATAATAGTTGTAATGAATCATTTGATCGGATTTAGAGTACATCAAATATAAGCATTTTAGGGAGCGTTAAGAGAGGAGGGAGGCTATAAACTACTGCGAAAAAAAGTCCCATTCGACTAATAGCAGTTTATCAGAAATTTATATCATTTTCAGCGCAAAGATGGGGTAAGAGCCGGCGATAAATTTCAACGTCTGAGCTTCTATGCTCCAGGGACGAGGATTACGGTTTTCTCTATATGTTCAGATATAGAATCGCTAATAATGCCAACTTAGCCGTAATACTAAAAATAAACTCGGCTGCCGAATAACGTTTACTTTCGTGAGCATCTAATAGATAGAAGAATATCACCCCAATCTGTATTAAATACTTTACCCTATTGCGAGTAAAGTTATTTACGTCGACGCCTGATCGCTGTATTAGTTTGCAAGAATTTTCTTCAGTGTGCTGAAATAAAATCTTTAGATCGTCAGACACTTTTATTATTAATTTTATGATAAAATTTAATCCTGGCATAATACTTTTTTGCTAGCCAGTTTTATTCTAAAAATGAAGCTGAATAATATTGTATTATAAGGCTCGATCCTCTTTCTATTCGCTCATCATTACTATCTCAATCGTAATGTATCAAATCGTAACGTAAGAAGCGAAAAAGCACAAAAATTTTTGCAAATTATATTTAAATAGGAATATTTCTATATTTTAATGCAAGAAATATTTTTCAATAAGATAACATTTACAATCGATAGAATATATTATAAAATGTACGCGGGAGACTATATCTTCTTGTTTTGGGCAAAAGTTAAATCATATCTATTTCCATATACAATATTATTAATTTGACAACTTGTCGGTAGCCTTGAAATAACTTATTTCGTTTCTGATTGTGCATTATTCGTTTCCAGATATACTGCAGTTATATATTATAACGAAACGAAAGGAGAGTTATGTATTTTACTAATCGATTCTATCGAGGCATTGTTTTATTAAAACGCGTATTTCCATATTGATACATATGGTACTTTGCAAAAACTTTCATTGTATATTTTCTCACTTCTGACGTCACAATCTGAAATGGTAGTAGACAGCACAGGAGTTTTAAGGCTATTAATTTTTCCATATTAATTAATTCCAATTTAAATAAAATATGTGGAAACTTTTACATTTGTGAATGAAAAAGATTAAAAGTAATTTTTCAATAGATAAATAAATCAGGAGCGACAAGATTTACCATATATTGAGATTTCGAATAAATATATGTGTGCTGTTTAATGCAAAAGTCACTTAATACAATATATATTATGCAAAAATTTTACTCTTATTTCATTTTCTCTATGTCGTATTGCATCGTGAAATTTTTCTGTATAGGTTGAGAAACTTGTAATATATATGTATACGCGGGACAAACGGGGTCGCGCGTAAACTCGCAAAACATATCGACGACATTAAGGATTAAACTCGGGTCGAGGAAAGTTTGCACGAACTTAAAGTCAAATGAGCACGTATGAGAAGGACGATGGGCATGCTGCGACACGAGTGAATTTGCACAAGATAATTAGATGTATTTTGGAACACGTTATATACTATCGGGAGGCATTATACGTAATTTCTTCCTCGTATAGCTTTTACAAAAGGAGACCGCATTAGGTATACGCATGTAATACGTGATCTTGTCGCGAGATAACTGATATATTATACCTGCGCACAGTTTCTAAACGAGAGCATGAGCGAGTATGTATAAACCTGAAATCGGCACGTTAAACATATAGGATATGCGAGCGCGCGCTGTATAATGACACCGCAGTTCGGGATTCCCCGGCACCCGATCGAGGCGGACGCGTTGTCGCCTTGAACTGTAAAACTCGTTCCAGTCTCGGAGAATCGATCGTGATTTTACACTCGTGCAGCTCGCGTGCTGCTTATAATTGGTTGATCGATGACACCGCCGAGCGCCGCGCCGCTGATGAGGGATGCAACGTGCGGACGATCAACTGCTTGACGTATAGTCGTAAGACATCGCGGGACCGTCTTGCGGTCTTATCAACCTTTTCGCTGAAACATGATGGATGTATCATTTATTTGTATACAATCGCGATCTTGTGCGCCACTTAATGAATGTGTGTCATGAATTCAATCACCGAGCTCAGGCTTGAAATATTGCCCCGCCGGGTATTATAGGTATACTGCGATTAGCCCCCCGGTGAGAAGCGAGTCCCTGCGATAAATATCGCGTAGAAAACGATCGCATCGTAATTACGGCAATAAATTATTGTAATTACTAATATTCCGTCCACTGTGGAAGATACGCGGCGCGCGCGATCATATACCACACGCGTTATTATAAATAGTAGATTTTATAGGTATATCGGTACAATCCGTAAGAGAAGAAGTGTCACATTAGCCGTTACCGAGGGAAAATTGAGGCGCCGAGTTTACCGGAATTAAAACGAAATTACCGTTCATCTTTGTGATACAAAATGACTCAAGGCCGGAAGTTAGAGATAACACAATGTATACGTATATAGAGGAGCTTTAAGATCGATATACTATATAAAAAGGTATAAGAAGTGTGGTATATAGGTTTCATTCGATAATTGAGTCGCGCGATAAAGCTGCACGATATTATTGTATTAATAATTAATTAAACCTGTTACTTTTCTCTTTAATGCAACATTCTGCGAATGATTTATACGGCGCGGCGAACGTGCCAGGCGCGATTTGCACGTGATTTGCACACGTTGAATCGAATATATGGAGATTATGCGCGAACAAACGCGATGTGCATGAATATTATTTCAGTTACTCCTCGGCGTAATCACGAAGTCGGAAGTGTCCGCGTGAGCTTCGAGAAGTCACGCCGGTGCCACGCGACGAAAGGCCGCTCGCGTGCCGTGCGACACGGCAGAAATGGAGCAATTTCCCTCGTCATTTTTCGGACAATCCATCCCTTTCCTTCTACTTAGTTATACCGCGATCCGGCTTTCCATGCACTGCACCCGTCGCTATCGTCAAAATCTCGTGGAATTTTAAACAGCCGCGGATCATTATAGTCTGAATCACGCGATATGCACTCGCTTATTGCTGCATGCGGCCTGCTTTCCGACGACGTACAATTCATTCCCCGCCCGGCAAGAACAGGGGTACTTCACGTCTCTACTAAAAACAGCAATTATAATAATTCGTCTCAAAATGACAGTGTACGCATACGCACGTCGTCTGTTATACATCATTTAATTAATTATTGTGAACGTCTGTACGCTTTATTAGGCTATTACCCCTCGCGCGGGAGTTGGCGGAGGCTTAATTGTATGTACCTATATATGTATACCTATGTATATATATGTATATTACACAAAGTCGAGCGATTAAAATTTTGTAATGAGCATCGTAAAGTTTGCCGTTCTTGTTTCCCGGTGGTAATAATATTCCTTATGGACGGAGTAAGACAGGAGGACACGAAATTTAGACACATTGACGAGCTTATGTTACGAGCCGACGGGTGTTGCATTTTTTACGAACGATAATGCTATATCGACCGTAAGCGCGCCTTTAGATGCCAGTCCACGATTGCAATTCCGTTTCGGCTCATCTCTTATTTTAGAGATGTAGCTCTTGGGTATACATTTTTAATCTTTAAACCAGAGAGAAACCTGAGAGAGAGAGAGAGAGAGAGAGAGAGAGAGAGAGAACACGAGGGCCTTTTTTCTGTAATTGCAAAATTTATCTAAAGAAGTAATAAATATAAACTACACAACAGTATTCACTTTTTTGCGATTACTCCTGCAATTTGGACACGATTTCAATGATTTACTTCCATCAATAAAGGCACCACAATTAAGGTAAATACTGTTTTGTGTATAGTTTCTTTACATTCACTTAATTCTTTAGAAGGCAGTAGGGTGCATCTAGATCTGTGCGAAATTTTTTGTTTTCAAAAACTTGTGAAAGTTTTCTACCTCGTATAAATCATACTTTTAAGTCTCCTTAATTTATCACAATGCTTAGATACAATTTTTTATGTTGTCTTCAACACAGAATTTTTATTTCACTTCTTTAACATCACTATTTTTAAGTTAATTAAGCGATATTCTATAGGTATAACCTATGTAAGACTTTATTTTAATTTTTTGGCATATGGAATACACCAAAACACCTCAGGAGAGAGGAGCGAGTCAGTAAATGTCGGATTGATTTTTCTTTTCGTACAAATGTATTGTAGATATATATACCATATATATGTATACGTCTGTGTCGTACACAATAAATATAAATGAATTATTAAGTTAAAATTACAAAGCGCGTTCCTCGAGTATTGTTTTTACAAATAAACTCGATCGTCCATTAAAATATTTACATTTAATGGACGTGATCGAGTTATGCAAGCCCTTAATATTATTGTTAATGTGCATCGCAGCGTTATTCACAGTCTTTAGAGCCTGCATCTTTATTTATACTGTTATTTCTATCCATATATATTTGTTAAAATTTGCACCAAAATTTCAATTTGTTTTTCAAATCTGGCATAAGGAATCTAAACATTTATATATACTCCATACAAAAGTCTCCACTGTAGGAAACTAATTTACAAAGAATCAGTATTATAATAATTTTTTAATTATTCATAAATCTTAAATTAGAGTGTTTCTTCGGAAATTGCTTAGATTGCATTCTTCGTGTACAATGCATCGTCTTGTGTTCCATTTTTCATGCTTTCAGGATTTACAGACCATTAATTGTTTCTATAGAGATATAGCGATTTAATTCTTATGGTTGTTTATCTTGGGCAATAAGCTCTGATGCACGCAACTGATACACAGTGCGATACACGATCGCACACGCGGGTCATTTGTAGCGCGAACTCTTGTCATCGTGAAAACTCTAAAAATAAAAGTCAATGTGTGTGTGTGTGTGTGTGTGTGTGCTCGCGCGGGTGTCTCGTGTCCATGTCGAGAAACTAGACCGTTTTGAAGATATATAGATCTGTCGATCTAAGGATCAAAGCGTCCAAGAATACCAACCTGACGTAAGATCCAAATCCGCGATTGAAGGATCCAGTAGAGTAAAGCCAAAGTAATCAGCAAGCATTATTCCAACACACAACGTATGGTTCTTATATACAGTCAGGATTAAAAGCAATCATCCTTGAACTCTTTTTCAATAGTTGTAAGCGTATTTAGTTATTAACGGTAAGCTAGAGCTAATTAGTTAATTAGCGTAGAAAGGGGTTAAGAAGTACGGTAAATGTTTTAAGCGATATAGCATTCATCAGTATATATATATATATATATATATATACCTAATATAATCACATTTTATCTATCATGTAATTCTTCAAATAAATGTGCAATTTTTGTTTAATAAAAATTGCGTGTTTTAATCTATATATGAGAAGATAGTTTAATTTAATATAATAATTGATTAAAAGTGCTTAAAATGTTTGAACAAAGTTCTTGGATGAAACGGCATTCGTAATTTCATACTTGACATTCACATTTTGATTGATGGTATTCTGCCAATTCAGATCGTCATTTCTAAGCATTGTAAACTGATAAATTTTACGAGTATCAGGAATGTTGTACATAATAATCGTCGGTTCGTTTATCTTGACGTTATGCCAGACTTAGGAAAAATAATTACCAAAGTATACACACGTGGCAACGATTGTGCTACGCAAAACATCTATTTTCGCTTCTAAAAAGAAGAGTTTCACCACGTTGTGTTGTAACGCGCGCTGTGAAACGCGGCGCGCGTTCATCGCGTCATTTCCGCTGCATTCGTTTGAACTTTTATCTGGGCTTTCTCACTTTGTAGACAGTCAATATGCCGAATAAGCAAATGATACAATCCTCTTACAAATAAATAACCAGTTTTGTGTTGTGAAGAAATAGGTCATCAAGCAGAATGCTAGCGTGAAGAGGTGCAATAATAGTTATAGACTTCTCATCCGTTCGTCATTACATGTATAAATTGACGTATATCTCTTTGTCTTCCTATTTCTTTACTATATAATCTTTAGCAATAAGCTATATTATTTTAGATCTTAAATTATTTAAGTAACACATAGTGATCTAATTAAATATGATAAGAAACAATACATTTTATTTTAATATAACGATTATTTAATCTAATTTGTAAGAATTAATTTCTAGAATTACGAAATTCAGAGTGCAATTCTCTCTCTCTCTCTCTCTCTCTCTCTCTCTCTCTCTCTCTCTCTCTCTAAGGCGTATATATACCACAGAGGAAATAGAAGATACCCATGAAAGTAAGAAAAATACCTAATACAATGAAAGATTGAAGCAAAAGTTGGCTACTTTATTATTTATATTAATTTTCACATGTTTTTCAAATTTTTTAATAATATGAAAATTTGATAATAATATGATATAGAGCAAAGTTTCAACTTTCTGTTTTTTTTTATTGTGGTGCGATTTTTAAAGGAATTATGAGCAATTAAAGTTAAAATGTTTTTTTCATTTAATTCGCAATGAGAATTCAATAATAAAAAATTAAAAAACAAATTTTTTTTTAACGAGATTTATGTAGGAAAAATTTGAAGTTTTCACGATAGAAAGTCGAAACTTTTTACTTTTTCATAGGACTATAAAATTGAGAAGAGAAAATTTCCAGTTTTGTTCAGTTCGTAGTTTTCTATAATATGTACGTGAATTATTATTAAAGTGATCAAATTCACTTCTGTCTCTAGACTATTGTCAGAAGACATAGGCAGGCGACCTTTTGAAAGTAGAAATTTCAAACTTTAAAATCTTTTTTAATTTTGTTTATTTTTAATGAAGTTGCTTGTAAATGTTGTCAAGTGCGTACATATAATAGCGCTATATAAACTTTTATTCCAATTCAATGTAACTCAATATGGATGTATTTTCCAAGAGATTATAACTATATACGGAACGTATTTTTCTGTGATTTTACCAGATCCCTGAGTATCGGTGGGAAACAGGTGGAGGCGATTGAACGCGCGAGGAACGCAACAGCGTGCGCTTATAGCGCTTATCACAGCACCAAAGATATTCCGGCAAGTGCACGTGGTCATCGGGAAGATCTGCCGATTGCCATGAGAGTCCTCGGTTCCGGCTACCTGACCACCTGTCTGCAGATCAAATACTACCGGCTAGATGATCAGAGTCACTGTGAGTGGGGTGCCAGATTGCACTGCATCGAGCTTGATTGTTCCAGCGTCGAGGGACGTCTCGTTACGGTGGATCGAGAGACCTACAGAAAGCTCGGCATAGAATCTTAACGAAACGTCATCAGCCTCACCCGCGGTACCGGTGACTCGTTGCCAGTTCATTATACAGCGAGTAACCTGCCACAATCGATGCCTCTCGCACACGATCGGCTAAATACTTTACGCTCATAAATGGTAAACACAGCTTGTATCAATAAGGCTCATGTTCGGATGAATTAAAGCCAGGTACTTTTCTCTATAAAACCTCAAGATAAGCAAAAACAGATCATAATCAGAGTCTATTTGACAATTTTTAATTCGAAAAGGTAATGTAATATAAAGAATAGAAGTCTGAAAATTTTGCCTATTCAATTATATTGCCTATCAAAATACGGCAACACCCTAACCCAGTGAGAAGTGACAATGAAATCAACATCGAATCGACGTTAAATTGACATCGATTCGATATTGATTCCATTGTCATTTCTCACTGGAAACACTTTGAAAATTGGCTCTGAGATCGACTTGATTAAGTTAATGCCAGATTATTTTAAATTGAGAGTATTTTCAATTCAGTACGATGAATATAAATTGTGCGTCGAAATTTCCTAGTGTTATGTTACAATCGACAGATAATTGAGATTAATCGTCATTAATTGGCTAACAATATTGCGTTAATAGTTGACTCAAGTTATTCAAAGAAGCCTGACGCAAACTGATATTTTGAGGCTTCCATTGCATCGAAAAAACATCGAAACATTACATCAAAAAGATTGCCTACAAAACAAAATTAATTAATTAAATTATCATTATATTATAATATTCCTAGAAATTAAAAAAATAGAGGATTTATCTTATGTACCAGCTAGAAACTCCATAGAACTTATGCGTTACAGTATATACTAATTGCATATTGCACAACCAGTATAGTGTAATAATTGCACATGCTAATTTTTCGATGCAAAATAAATCATAAACAACTGTAATGTTGGTAGATATAATTGATTGTAATTGTTTTCTCTGGTCAGGGATTACCGCTGAAATGAATAAGATAGAAAAACGAACTCTAAAACAAACACACATCGATAATAGTGTACGACAGCGTCATTGATTTCTGATTAATACTTAATTGTGAATATACGAATCAATCGCGAGGCAATATGCCGCGGTCAGGAAGAACGGCGTTTTTTTTTTTATAATTGAAAGCATCGACAGAAGTCCTACTCGTGTCAGCGGTGTGACGTAGACGCGTCAGCTTTCGTAAAACTTCGCGATCGAAGTGTACGATGCACTTTTACACGTATTGTTTGCTTCGACGTTATTTTTCATTTACGATAATTTTATCCGCATGTTTTTTCTTTTTTATCTTTTCACTTATCATGAATGATAAAGGATTTTTGTAAAACTCGTTTCTCTGTCTTGATTGATATCGTGTACATTAATTTTAAGAGTCTTCAGAGAGAGCTACGATAGGAATTCGAAGTCTTAAAGAAAACTTTGTCAATCAGCGAAGTGACCAATTAACGTCTTTACGCTTACTGTAATTATGCAGATCGTTTCTACTTTCTCTACTCATTTAATGGATTAACGAAATTACCTTTACAAATTGTATAAATGTATTGCATACACAGGGTGATTCTCGATTATATGTTTAAACTTCGGAGGATATATTTAGAAGAAAAAAATTTCATGTATGCGAAATTACTGGCTTGAGACGCGTGCATATACAATGTATGTACACACACGCGTGTATTGCAGGTACTGCAATTATAGTACAAGTCTTGCTCATCACCTAATATAAGGCAAAGAAAAGGAATTTATTATACAATAAATCGAGCTTCCGAGATGCAATGCTCGGAATTTTCCGCGATTTGTTAGGGTACCGTCCTATGGCGTTGAAATATTAAAATCATAGATTTTTCGCATAATGCGTATCGATTGGAGGCACGAGATTGCCTCGTTTTACTGATGTTTCTATAGGTATAACACCTCTGATTGATTACACGAAAAATTGGTGCCATGACACAGCACTCTTAATATAAATTTAATTTATGTATACATATATGTAATCAGAGTTGGGTAATAGAACTAATTAAAACATTACAAGTTAAAAAAAAGTTAAAAAGTTAATTTTAACTTCAATATATATAATTTTTAACTTAATTCAGTTACTTTTCAACTTTAATTTATTAACTTTTTTAAATTGGAATTTTTTTATTATATCTCTTTTAATACCAATTTTTTTTTCAATAAAATCTTAAACATTAGAAATAAATTAATTTAGAAAAAGCTCAATAATTTTGTGACTAGAAACCCTATAATAAGACTTATAATAAACATATTATTTATACACTATTTTGTATTTTATAATAATTATATCATATGACTTATATGTGAATAAAAAAATTAAATTTATCTAATAATTTATATTGTAATTGTTATTTAAAGTAATTTTAATTTAAGAAAAGTTATATTTTGATCTCAAAAATTATTTTTTCAAAATTAACTTTTTTTAAACTGAAGTTAATTTTTTATTCCTTTTCAACTTTTTTAACTTATAATTTTATTAATTTTATAAGCCATTAACTTAATTTAGTTTATAAAAATATTAATTTACCCAACCCTGTGTATAATTAAAGATCACTCTGGTATAAAATATATCTAAAAAAAATATATATATATATATGTATATACATACACATTATTTCCATACAATAAATACAAAAAATCACATTTTCTATCTATTTTGTTATTTTACACTCATAATTGTGGTGGCACATAGTGCAGCAATGCGTCCGCGATATCTCTATTTTGCAACTTCTTCACTTGTGTACGCATTCGCATCGCTAGTCTATTCGTGCGCTTCAGATACATCGCCGAGTGGTGTACCGCGATCGTAAAGGGGATTGGGCACCATGTCTCTTTGATCACACCGCGAACTAGCGCCGTGATGTAGCTCTCTATGAGCGACGTGTCGTCCTCTTCCGGATAAAGATACTCCTTCAACGGCAACACCAACTTCTCTGGTGACAGTTTCAGGTATCGCAACGCGGCCGCGTGTTCCGACCACAGTAATTTCCGATAATGTGAATCATGCCGTTGAGCTATCGGCACCAGCAATATCATGGCAAAACCGTCGTCGCCGTACGAGCTCGAGTAGAAATGCTCGCACAATGTCGTGAACAGATCAGTGAAGGAGCTCAATCCCGGCAGTTCCGTTCGTAAATTCAATCGCGCATGGTATCTTCTCAGCAGATTCGACAGGACATTGAGCAGCAGCATGGCTACATCATTGTGCAGGTAGATGGTATCACAGAGGTACACCAGTATCAGTCTGCTGAATCTCAAAGTAGGTGACAGTTTCTCCATAAGATCGGGCAAAACTAATGCTAGACTAAGAACTGTCACGACACTATCCTTGTCCTCCGACTGTAACTTGATATCGTTTTTGGACTTTGTATACATGTGAACTAGAGGCAAGAAGAGCCAGTCCTTTGGCATCGCCGCTTGGTTCCAATCGCCATTCGGCGCAATATATCTCTCGTACAACGATGTCGCATCGGAACGCAAGTCTATCTTGACCTGATCTATTGTGGATGTCAAGTCTAATTTGGCTAATTCGCTAGTGATTACCTCTAAATTTATCTTTTCGTTCGACAACGCGATCTGAAGGAGCTTCCTCACATAATCTGTAGCGTCCGCGGGTAATGTCGAGATAAGTTTGATAGTAATCTTCCACATAATTTTGGCTGTCTGATTGTTAATTGTGTCTCCAACAAGAGATACTGCTCGTACTACTGCTGTCAAAAAATATAATTCCGTTCTGCTAAACCACGATCTTTCCAAACTCCACTCGGTCTTTTCCAAATCTTCTAGATATTTGCGGAAGGATGGGTGTTCAAATATCAAACGAATTTCTACTACGCGAAAATTATTGTAAAATGCATTGAATATTGTCGCTAAGAACGGTATGCACGAATTTACTGACACAATCGGTTGCAACTCTCCGTTTTCTGTGAGAACATTCAAGTTTGGAAGACAGGACGGTTCCCGATTCATAGCCACGTTGTAGTCGCTCAATAAGTTTGAACTGGAACTACAAAAAAAAAAAAAAAAAAAAAAATAAATATATCGTAAGTCCTTTTTTAATACGTACGTTCCCAAATACAAAGAAAAGAAAAAAAATATGCCTACCGAAGAGTTAAGAAAACATGCTGGTTGCATAGCCATGTTGTTTTAAATGCGGACATCTCGTCAACGGCGGATAAACTCTCCGCAATTAATTTCATAACACTCCACTAAAATTTATAATACTTTATATGCTTTCTCGAATATTGATAAGCGTTAAGATAATGATTTAAGAATTTTAAGATAATAAAAATAAAAACAAGATATAGTCTTAATATTTTTTGAATATTTTTATCAAGTAATTATTTCTTAATATAGTACTTGTTAAACTAATTATAAATAGATTAATAATAAAAAACTACACTCACCGTTGGATTAGATACCGATGAAAACTGCGTACTCCACTTCATTAGCAATGTAAAGATGTTTGGTTTTAACGTTTTTTCATGACTTGCTACAGCAATCAACGCCGCGGCGTGCTCGCACGCCAACTCGGATGTGTTTTGAATATCATGATTACTTAATAACAGCTGTAATTGTGATACAAGAGTTAATTGGGCACCCGTGACACTGTCCAGACCTACTTCGTAATGCAGTAACATTCGCCAGAGTCGCAGACTCTCAATGCTGAGATTTATGTGATCTTTCCTGCCGAAATATTATGTATTTAATAAAATAAATATACGAAAATTATGTATTATACATACGAATAGAAAAGCTTACCCTGTCTCGCTGCTAATATACGTTAAAATGATTTGAATAATTTTAAAGTTCTCTAATTTCTGTGCGATGGGCCTCTTGCCATACGTGACGAGAACGCGACATAATTTAATCGCTGTTACTACAGGAATCCCGTAAACATTATCTATCTCATCATGCATCGCTGTAAAAAATTCCAAGCTCTTTAAATACATCATCAATAATTATTTATTCATTAAATAAATCTTAGATTTTTAAAATTTATTTAGAGTTTTTTTAACTTATTTAAATTTACTTAAAGATAATACGTTATTTATACATTATTTCAAGCTTAATTTACCTAGTCGGTCTGCAGACAATGGTATAAAATTTTGGATGATGGTGTCCAACAAATATGGTGTAGACGAGATTTTCAATGCCGTTATGTGTGAGTGCCTCGCGAAACGGATAAGTATCTCTAAAGCACACGTTACTCCAACAGGTGGTGGATGCATTGTATTTAAAACGTATCTATACAAGCAATTACAAATTAACTTCACTATTTTACTTATTAAAATAAGAATTCAATAAAAACATAATATTTAAATCAAAGTATTATGAATATTTGACAAAAAAAGAAGACAAATTATACCTAATTCTTAATAAGAAATCCGATCTCAGTAACGCAGCCACGGCATCCAACTGCGCCAACTCGTGATCTTTCAGATTATTTGTATCCTTGTCTTCAAGTTGAGGTGTCAGGGTGGGTTCTGTGTATTCTTCGAATCCATGCAGTCTGTTCAAGCATACCTCGTCCGCCTCGCTGACCAGGAAAGCTCTGAGAGCTTGTAGAGTCGCCGTGACCACGGCTACCGACGAGTCGTCCAACGAAAATCGCAGCAGCAGCAGGATATTCTTTTGACTGAGTGCGGTCAGTGGTGTTGGATGCAAGGCTCTGTCATACCAACCCTTACGCGTTTTGTCCATGATATTGGCCAAGGTGGTAAGGGCTGTACACCGTTGCTGTTGACTGGAAGACCTGCTCAATTGCAGCAACTCCTGAAGAGAGTATCCAGGACGTTCGGGTTCCTCGCCGTGATGATGAAGGCCCTTGTCGATGGTTAAACTCTCATCCTTATATGGCAATAAAAGGCCTAAAAAATATAAAAAAGTAAATGATAGAGATAAAAGATCGAGATAATCAATAGCGTAGCAGAATGAGTTGATGTATATTATTTTATTATTTACCATTAAAATCAAATCTCGCATTATATTCTTTGTTTGGCAAGGCCTCGTCTTTCTCCTTTTCTGGCAAGTCTTCTATCCACTTCAACTTTTCTGGTTCAGGAATGTTCATATGAAGCCATCCTCTCCGTTTACCTTCTTCAAACATTTCTTTAGGGTCTAGTATGCTCAAAATGTCGTCCTCACAATCCATTTCTGTATCTCCATTATCTTTGGATAGCTTAATCTTTTTGTTGCTAGATATTTCCGTATCCACCGTTGTCTCTTTTGTGCTTAAAGTGCCTCTTATATCATTCTCATAGTCCGTTTGTTCAATATCATTTAACGAAAGCTTTAGCTTTTTATCATTGAACACTTCTGTAGCCATTGCAGTTTTATTCATATCTAAAGAGCTAAGTTGCCTACTATCTTGTTCAACTAGATTTTTGGAAGATTTATTTTTCTTATTTCTTAAAAATTGTATTATCTTAGGATCAAGAGTCTCATTAAGCTTCTTTTTTTCTCTTAATATTTCTGCTTCGCTCATTTGTGCCAGCTTTTCTGAATTTTCTTTGTAAATTTGAAGTAAATGATACTTTGTCACAATGTCTTCTTCCTTGTTGCACGAGGAAGATTCGTGGGAAGATTCGCCTATATGAATCTTCATCCAATTATCTCTCACAGATATTTTGTCCGCAAGAACTTTCTGTGAGAATAAACTCTGCTTACTATCGCTCTATAAAAGAACAACAAAATGTGTTGAGTTGACTTAAAAAGATAACAGAGAGACATGTTAATCAGATATACCTTGTTCATAAGTGACACGGATCTAAAAACCTTAGAGAGCTCAACTGCTGTGGAGACGCGGTTGTCGTTGAACTCATATTTGTTGATGTTAAATTTCCTCTCCATGATATTGCCAAGTATTATGTTCGATGATACTACAGGTATATTCTGCACCATGTCCTGCAATTTTCCTTCTGATTCCTGAATCTTATCTTTCATGATAACCGGATTTATCACCTCTCCACTGCCTTGTGAAGTGGACGGCGGTTGTTTTGCCTTCAGGAACTCTTCCTGCTGGCGCAGAAGCTCCTCCTCATCGTCACCCAGTCTAGGCCTCTTCCACAAAACTTCATCAGCCATCCTCAGATTATGTTATTATAACCTCTCTGTTATTTTCAACAAAGAATCTGTAAAAAACTGATCAATAATCACAATACGCAATTGACATGAATGCGACATTTCTGCGATATAACAATTAATGTGAACATTGTCATCGCGTGTCATTTCAGAATCGACCGAATCTTCTTCTTCCTAGTTAATGGCTGATATCTCCTTCTAAAATTGTCTAAAGTATGGCAATAAATCAAATAAATAATCAGAGGCAATACGGTCAGATTACGTCAATAGTGGATTACGTCTTTGTCTTTGGTAGGTACATACAGAGTAACAAATGATGCAATGCCCGGCCACGACCGCGAAAATGGTGTTGTTCGAACGGACACCAGGCGCCTGCGTGCCTGCGTCTATTGCAGTCTATTCAATCAATCAATCTTGGTGAAATGGCAAAATTGCAGTCTATTGTAGGATAGCTGCGCAGCCGGCTACGACGTATCCGCGTTGTACAAAAAACGCCCGTTCGGCAAATCCGATGCCTAAAAGAACGCACCCTCGCTTTTAGCCTGCGCACTTTTAGCACCACAGCAGGAGACGATCGCATTTACCATCTATAGGAAAGGTATTACCGACGAAAATCCTCTAGCTCGATAGAGGGGAATCGGAAGGATATTCTTGGATTGATGTTCATTCTCAAGAACTTTTATAAATAAATTAAATGTATTCATTTCTCTTTAATTTGTTTTCTGTATATTCATTTTTATACATTTTTGGTTCGAGCGTGTTCGGGCGCAGGAAGAAATTAACTTGATTGATTTAGCATTTAGCTCGTAACTTTATTTATCTAAGCATAAATAAAGTTGGAAAATAATGTTCTTCAGTATATTTATATAATACAGGAATTAACTGATTATTATCGCAGTCATATATGCATACGCCAGCGATACGCTGATCACTCAGGATCTCGTAAATGGATTAATAATTTTAGAATGAAAAATTTGGCCCATCACACACACACGTTACCTGGCCACACAAATTAACAGTATAGCAATGATCATATAATAGGTACCTCCCAACCATTACAATCTCCGCGATAGTCTCCACAGGAAAAATGACTATAGCCACTCAAGGTACGTCACCAAGCTGGTTCAATATCTTCGTATTAAATTATTTCCTAATTCGAGAGAGAATAATATATTTCCCTGTCTTGTGAATCCTTTTAAACTCTGTCGCCTCTTTTGTTATCCTTCTCTTCCGATCTGTAAATATTCAAATTTAATTCATTTAAATCAAATAATGAATAAAAAATATATAAATTCTAATATGGACTCCTTATAATTAAATATAACAATAATATACTTTAGGGGGCTATTTAGGAGTCAACGCAGTAAGAAAAGCGCACACACATTAAATTCTAAAATATACTTTACTATAATCTAGAAGTTACAAATATATTTAGAATTTTATGTTTGCGTTTTTCTTACTGCGTTGACTCCTAAATAGCCCCCTAAAATCTCTCTAATTCATTTATTCTCCCATCGGCCCCCCTTCCAATCCGAAAGCATATGCGCGGAGCGTTCCACACGTCGGAATACTGGCCGTATCATAGGCGCTCGCCTGCGGGAATTATTAAATATAGAAGAACAACGTATGTGTAGTATGCAGATATATTATTATATTTTAAATTTTGCATGAATTAAATACGTAGTTTAGAAAACAACGACTTTACATTGACGCTTCAAGTATGAATCGAGAGAAAATTTCACCAAGGTTTAATATACATAGCCCCTTCATCTTCTCTGTTTCTCTAAAGTAATACAACGTGTATATGTGTAGATATATTATTATTATTATTATTATTATTATTATTATATTTCAGATTTTGCATGAATTAAATATACATAATTAATAAAACTATTATTTTTTATGTCGAGACACTTCAAATTGTACGAACGAAGAGATGATTTCGCGCAAATCCCTTATTTTCGGAAAAGTAGCAGAAAATAAATGAGGACAGGTTCTTGATATATCCCCTTCGAAAACGCTAAATAAATTCTCCGATCAAACGTTCCTTTCGCTTGGAAAAATACAATTTTGCCTATATACATATATCGGATTTATTATGATTATATATGTTCTTGTTTTTCTCTTATAAGTATGTACATTTGATCGCGCACTCATATATTTGCGCAAAGCTGCTTTCTTCGGCATTCGCAACAGAGACCGATATAAGGTGGAGAAAAAATCAAAAAGTACATGTAACGATATATAATAATTTCAGTTATATTTCTAGATGAAATATAATTCCTCAATTATAGAACGTAGGTACAGAACGGCAAAATATTGCTTCCATAAAATTGCACGACGATTCCAGCAGTAGAATGTCGCTCCTTTTATCTGTGCAAAATATCATATCTCTCTAAAGGTTTTGAATATCATCTTCCGATATAATTAAAATGTAATCTTTAAATAATTAAATCCGAATCTCCTGCCCGTATCAGATTAGAGATTGAAATTGTACATGATCGATGAAAGCAAACTAAAGCAAAGTTCACTAAACTTGATATTGGTTTTCCTTCTTCTGATTGATTAAAGTCAATCACAATTTCTAGTCTGATTGACAGGAATGTCACGTGGATATAATAAAATTTTTTTTTATTTCAATAGATGAATTCAAATTCGCTTGGAGTGGTCCATGGAATATTTTTTCTCAAATAAAACTGCTGAAACAGCACTTATTTACAGTCACGTGTATTTACACTAATTACAAGTATGGTAACGCGTAGTGATACTTCGCTTCAGGAGAAAAAACGATACACTGCGTGACGACTTCTGATAGAGCTCGATTTGCAGTGTCGTACTTGTTACATGAAGAGACGCTCAGTCAAGAAGAACAAGCTCAGTGATCGTAAAGTTGGTGTTGCGTTACTTTTGATGCGGCGTGACATTTCGTCGAATTCGATTTTAGATGGTGAAAAAAAAAAAGTGAGAGAGAGAGAGAGAGAGAGGGGGAGGGGAAGGAGGAGGGAGGAGAAAACCAGAGAGCGTTTCTTACTCCACACTCCACACGCCAGATCCGTCCTCTCTCTCGTCGCGACATTTTTTTTGTTAGGCGAAATAGATATAAAAGTCTCTCGCTAAAATTATGTAGAAATCGATCACTACAACTTGCGTATTAATTGTATAATTGAATCAGCTTTTTTTAGCTTGTCTCCATAACCATTCGCACTTCTTATAAAGGTACACGCACATCTTAACGCACATACACGAGGAGACAGAAAAAGACAAAATATTATTATTATTATATACATATACGTGTGTGTGTGTATATATATATATATATATATATATATATATATAAAAGGCACAGAATACACATTATTATATTAGATATACGTATTACAATTATATTATTTTAAATTGTGGAAATGGCTTTAAAATATTTACGTGTATGTGAATTTCCCTTCCTTTCTAAGACAATTGAAGATAAGAAATTGAATTGTGTGTGTGTGTGTGTGTGTAAATAAACACGAATATTTAGTGCAATGCGAAATGAGATCATATAATTGTAATATATATATAAATAACATACATATATAGGAGCGATAAATATATACACACGCGCGGTTGCACAGCCCCGATAAATTAATAGAAAAGGCGAGGAGATAAAAGGAACTTATACGGTGTAAATCGAACTCCATACTTTACAGAAAACGTTATCGGCGACGTGTAAATTGAATGCATTGCGCACACACACTCGCACGCATGCACGCACACACGCACACATTGCATATTATTTCCTGAGAACATTAATTAACTCTTCGATATAGCCTCTGGCTTTAAAATGATATAAACAAAAGGATATTATGTACATATTTTTGAAGCAATTTGATTTGCATAAAATTTGGTTAATATTTCCCTGGAAAAGTTAATTAACATCCTCGACGAAGATTGTACATTCATAATGTATGCGAGAAATCATTTAACATCGGTTTCAAGGATGTCTTTCATAGCGAACAAAGCACGATTACAGGAATATTAATTACTTTGTGCCCTAATCTTATCACAAAAATATGAGTCAGCATTTTGCTCCGATTAGAATTACCCCAATTAATCAATCTCGACGTATTATATACTGACTCAACTATTCTCGTTCAAGTCTTAATTGTTACGAAAGATTATATCATATATGTACATTCGCTGGTCATATTACTCACAGGGGTGACGATAGAAAAGTATATGGTTTACATTATACATTTACGTTTTGTATATATAATAACGTTTGTTTCGCTACAAGGAATTCTGTTATATATATGTATTATTTTTTATTTATCAGCACAATCATCTTAGATGTAATCATCGACTTCAGATTTGAAAAGAAAAGGAAACGAATGAGTTTTACCGACGTTTTACGTGGCAGCATTGTTAATCTTTTTGACGATGTTGAATGAAGTACTTTTAATAATTCAATTGTGTAAAATTAATGAATCTATTCTTGAAAAATTCTCAGAAAAGCTTTCGAAATGTTGTGAAGATTATCTTCCTCGAAGCTATTATTCTAGTCGTTCTTAAATGGCGATTTATGTTATACGATAGAATTTTTCATGTAGAACATATTGTTTTTGAATATCGCATTTTTTTACATTAAACAGGTGTACAAGTATAGAGTAATACTGTAGATAGAACAATAAATATATTACTTAGAATACTTAAAATTCAAAAATACTACATTCGCGCAATTACCAAAGCTTAATGACTGTATCGTTTCTTTTGATATATAAGAGTGACAAATTACATTTACATAGATAAGACTTTCCTTATTTTTTCTTCTTTAGATATTCTGAAGATATAGGTATAACGTTGCTTTTTATCGCAAATGCGAACAAGCCGCATCGACTGAACTAATAGTTTGCAATCCGACCCAGTCACGTTTCGCTGTTCTGTTGCCTTCGTTCGTGAAAACACTATTATCCGTCACGATCGAAACGAGGTACTCGAGTCCGAAAGTATGACGTTATGCTAACGCAAAGACAAATAATTGATTACTCATCGATCGGGCTGTTCTTGCTGAGAGGGGTCCTAGAAAATTTATATCAAATATCCCTCAGTCTTGGATAATGATTTTTTTCCTTTATTCATGAATAATTCTACGCTTGCTAAGTTCTTGTCTCAATGTCTATAGCCAGAAGGGCGTCGTATTTATCGGCGAATAGTTCGGATTACAAACTTTTAATGTGCTTGGTTTATCTAGACGTAATTATATTTAGTTCAGCCTAAGTCCATCAATCAATGTAAACTGAACTAGTATATTAGAAGTTCTGAATAATGTGGGTTAAATTTCTACATGAAGAAGAAAACGGAAGGAAAATGAGCATACTTTCCGTTTGAAATTTGAGTAGATACTTTATCTAAAGTTATTTAAAATGATATTTTTATGTATTATAAAAAGAAAGATAAATTTAACAGCAACAGAAAGAGAAGGGGAGGAGAGGAGAGAGAGAGGGGAGAGGGAGGGGG